CCAAGAAGGCTCCACACCCATTTGCACCACTCAGGTGGCCCTGAGGACACAGACAGACCTCCAAGTGGCCTCAACGACTCTCTAAAAGGATGCAAATGACCAGCTGTCTGCAAGGAGCATTAATCCTTCCCCTTCCCATCATCCAGTCAGAGCTGAAGAAGCTTCTGGGATGAGAAGCGAAACATCTTCAAAAACCAAAACCAAAACCAAGAAAGTCCAGTTGCCTCTTGAAAAAACACCTTTGGGACAGTTAACTTAAGCTTTTTCTCATTATTTCCTAAAAAAAAAAAAAAAAAAAGGATCCAGAGTGAAGATGGAATATTACAAAAACCAAACTAGCTCATATATTTTGTAGGATATTCTCTTTCTTGTAGCAATTGGAAAGAAATAAGCAAGGCTTACAATTTCATGCAAGCTTCTTTGGAAAAAGGGTCCAATGAAAATAGCGGAATCAATACCTTGAGTAAATCTACATAAGGCTTGAATATTGCTAGCATGAAATATCAGCACCTATCTTATTTATTCTCCACAACATACTTCTGCTGGTTCAATATGCTATTTGCGGGACTTCCGGTTTGAGCTTCTTCGGCAACAGACCGAAGCCTCGTCTCTGTGAGGTTTCGAATCGTGCTTGCCGCTGGAGCGCCCCGAGCCGGCTGGTTTCGGGGCTAAGCCACCCTGTAGAGGTGGTGAAGAAGGGGGAGACTGCCTGCAGGGTTGAGGAGAGCCACATCTCTCCTCCCCAGCTGGCCATTACTCCCTTTCCCGAAGGCGGTTGTAGCGGTGGTCAGAAATGGCCACCACAAAGAAGAACTCGACCGGAAAAGAATGTGCAGGAGGAAGATAAGAAGAGAAAGTTTTGGTTGACCGGGTCAAACAGCAAAAGCAACAAATAAGGTACCCTGGAATTGAAACTATTTAAAAAAAACAATAACATTGTTCCCTAAGAAGATTTTTAAGCTGCGAAGGAGAGAGAAAAGGGAAAAGGTTTGGGTTTTTTTCTCCTTTTCCTATACTGACAGCTAAGAGACTTAAGCAAGAAATTGGAAAAAAATCCACTTTGACATTAATAGGCATTTAATGCTGAAAATAAAAAGTCAAAGGGATAATAAAGATTTCTGGATAATCAAAAGCTTTTGAAAACAGGAAAGGAGAGAAAAAGAATAAAAGGGTAGGATCTGGAAGGGAGGAGACTGCCTGGAATTAAAAAGAACTTACAGCAAAATCTCAACAAGACTTCCAAAAGATACATTTTAACTGAAACATCGCAACAAAAACCCCAGGAAGAGAAAGTGGATAAAGAAATAAGAAGAAACAGCTTGGGACTATTTGGATTACTTGATGATCTCTGGATTTTTGGTTATTGTATTTGAATGACTAAAATCAATCGGGTGGTTGTTTAAAAGTGTTTAAAATGGCTCCACTTTTAGAAGAACTGAAAATGGAACATTAAAAGTACAAAGAAGATGCACAAGAAGGGAGAGGTTCTTTTGGCTTCGTATTTCAGTTTTTAGAAATGGAGATTTGGAACTATGAGAAACAACAAGAAATGCCTGCAGAACAAGAAGATTGCGACAAAGAAGAAGCCATCTTTAATGAACAAGTAATCTTAGGTGGGGGAAAGGGGGGAAAGAGAATGGAATGTTTAAGATTGAGAAAAACAACCCCTCTCAAAAAACAGAGTGAAAAATAAGTATAAAATCAGAAAGCAACAGAAGAGGGAAATGCAGAAGAGAGAATTAGAAGTAGAGAGACAAGGGGGTAAAAAGGGGAGGGAGAAGATGAGAGGGAAGAAAGACAGGAAAAGAAGTTATAAAGGACAGAAACAAAATATAGAGAAACAGGGCCTATTTAGTGATAATGGGTGAAAATTTAATGGAAAAAGGAATTCTGCAAAGGTACATAAGATAGTATTGTTATATTAGAAATAGAAATAATTTTAGAAAATATGCAACAATGTATGATTAAAATGTTTGATAAAATAGCTATTGTAATGCTTGTCAATAAATAAATGTAACAAAATGAATATTTAATGAATTACAAAACATATGTGAAGAAAAATAAGGGAAAAATTAATTATGGAGATTATACGTGTCTTTAAGGAAGTATGATATTTAATTGAAAAGAAATGTTAAAGATGTTAAGATTTTAATGATTATTAATGATAGAACTGAATTGGAATGGAATGAGGGTTTATAATTACATATATTTATAATCCTTTTTTTAAAAGAATATAGTGTGTACTATAATAATGTACCAAGCAGAATTCGATTGGAAGTTATGTATTATGTATTATATTGAAGGTCATAACCTGAAGGTATATATTGAAGTTTAAATAAGAGTTGAATGGATGTAATTAAAAGATATAAAGGTGTCATACTCCAATTAGTAACTACAGGAGAAAACTTGTTTAATGAGAAAAGATAATATGAAATTGAAACAGAACAGACAAAACTATAAATATAATGATTTGAATTGAGATGAGATAATCAAAATAAAATTGAGAAAATTAAAAGAGGGGAAAAACTATATAGAAAATGTAGAAGAGTATAAGATATGGAATAGAACACAAAAAGGAGCATGAAATTGAGTTTTGTGTCTGTATAAAGAAGTTCAACTCGGGACCATGCTATTTTCAAAAATATTTTGTATGTGTGAAAATCCAAATAAAACTTTATTAAAATAATATATGCTATTTGCTTAGTGAGGGAATGAAGGAAATTGTCCTACCTGGTTAGCAAAGAGTAAATAGCAAATGGTGGGATCTTCTTTGTCCTTTACAATCGCTCGAATGAGTTGCAACATGGGAGTAATTCCTTCAGGGAAGAGAAAGAGAGAGACAGAAAGATAGATAGATAGATAGATAGATAGATAGATAGATAGAGGAGAAAAGAGAGACACAGACACACACAGAGAGACAGAGGAGAGAGAGAGAAGAGAGAGAGAGAGAGACAAAGACACACACACACACACACACAGAGAGAGACAGAGAAGGACAGAGAGAAAGAGAGAGAGAGAGACAGACACACACACACGCAGAGAGAGAGAGAGAGAGAGAAAAGAGAGACAGACACACACACGGGGGGGGGGAGAGAAATGGTTAAATGAATCTTGTCAACATCTGCAGAAGAGCAGGCAGAATTGGAGGTGGAGTTAAGTGAGACATCAGCTTGGAGTCCTTGTGCTACCATAAACACTTTAACTCCAACCCCTCTTGAATTCCATCAACTCTTTATCTAGTGCCAGTTTAGGGCTGCATATTAATTGACCAGATCCTTGTGAGCAGGATGGTCAATAAATCATCTTAACTAGAAGTTAACAGGTAATTCTTCCCACCCGACACATCCCACTGAATGACCAAAGGCAGGAAAATACCATTTGGGAGTACCTGTTCCACCTGCAATCATCCCGACGTATTTCACCTGCTTAAGCACGGGTTCAGATTTCTTGTCTGGACGAATCGCAAACACACCTGGAGAGGGGAAAAAATAATCGGGGCTGAGGAATTGGACTGGCGGCACGTAAAACATCTCAAATCCAAGACACGGGTTTGGAATGCCCATTGATGTCAGAGTTGACATCTTTTGCCCACTCCTAATCCCAATGATCTATCTAGAAGAAAAACCACAATGGGGAAAATTGTTCAAATATAACCTACATTGCTCATTGACTTGCAACCGTTCGAAGCCACAATGGACCAACTTGGGGGGCTACTTCAAAATCCTGCCTGTTGGGCCCACCCCTGTGGTCACATGACCGAACTTTGGTTGCTGAGCAACTGGGGTGTATTTACAACCATGGTCACCTGAACGTGTTTGCCAAAAGTTGGCGTTTACTTCCAGGTTTCGGCCAAACCACTCCCATGGTGAACCATCGCTTCTGTCAACTTGCGAAGCATTCCTGACCTGCTTTTGAGTTGCCATAGGCAAGGGGGATGGGGAATCCAACCTCGCAGTGGCATCGTGAACTTGCATTTCAGTCAAGACAAAGCACATTCCAACTGGCAACGTCAAAGTCATGTCCATGGAGACCCAACAGCGGTCGGAGAGAGTGACTTCTACAACCCGCGAAATTGCTTTGTTGGGGAATGTGACTGTTGACACATCTTGGGGAGGGGGGGGGGTAAACAAGGTCAGAGCCAAAGCGTGGATTAAGTGAGGTCAGAGTTGGCTTCATTTGGTCCATGTTGACATGAAGCTCCTAATAACTGGATTTCTTTTGAAGCTTGGCCTGAGGTTCATGATTTAAATAGTGCATCAGTCGGACAGCTTCACTTAGGAACCACGGTGGCCTCTTCGTGACTATGATTGCTGCCATATTCACTTATACAACAACAAAAATAGTCATAAAATGGGATTGGTCCCATGGTGGTTATGATGGACTTCTTTAAAACTCCCCCCCCCATTCTGTTGGCAACTATAAAATGGGCATAGAAATGTTTTATGAGTTGACACAGGCTCCATTACAGCCATAAGTTTGAGAACTCCTTGCAGGATAAATCAGAGATGAAGACAACCTTCTCCAACTTGGTGTTCAGTTTCCAGAGCCTCACCTTTCCCCTCGTAAACGAGCAATCCACTGGGTCCCCGAAAATCAATGGTGTCCCCCATCTTTAGATTCTCCAGATACTGGGACATTTTCCCTCCTTCGGGAAATTTGGGGTTAACCCCTTTGAAATAGATCTATAAGGAAGAAAATACCTTTAAAACTGAATGTGCAGATGAGAAAGACGAAGTCATTCAGATGCCTGCAAATCCATGATGCTCAAGACAAATGGACCACAGCCAGAGGTGGTATTCAGCAGGTTCTGACCAGTTCTGGAGAACCGGTAGTGGAAACTTTGAATAGTTCGGAGAACCGGCAAATCCCACCTCTGACTGGAGATTTTACAGTATCCTTCCCCTGCCACGCCCACCAAGCCACGCCCACAGAACTGGTAGTCAAAAAATTTGAATCCCACCACATATACAAGACGTCTGTAAGTTTGTAATCAGATCACACACAAAAAAATGCTTCTATCCTGAAACATTTTCACAACTGATTCCTCTGAAGATATATTGAATGTCAACTTGCATTATCTCAGAACGAACCTGCTTAAAGAAATTATCTTGTTACCCTTAAGAGTTTCTTCTCCAACGCTTTTACCTTCACTGGGGTAAGATTCATATTTTAATGCAGTAGATTATTTTTTTAAATATTTTTTATTTTTAATACAATCATTCCATCTTCAGTTGAACAGTATGTGTTGTCTGGGTACAAACATCCTTGTTAAACAATATTCAATATTACAACATCCTTCATTACATATTAATTCTGCAATATTTAACATAATAATGTCCACCTGTTAATTATACTAATTGATTATACAATATTAACGTAGTAGTATTCAACTTGTTAATCATATTATCTCTTTTAACACATCATCTTTAATACAGTAGATTCTTAAAGTGAATATTTATCTACCTACCTACCCATCAATCACAGATATAGATAGATATATAGATGGATGGATGGATGGATGGATGGATGGATGGATAGATAGATAGATAGATAGATAGATAGATAGATAGATAGATAGAT